ATCATAACATAAGGTAAAATGTACCGTACTACAATGTGTAGTAGGCATAAAGCAATATAACAATTCATTTAAAAAAAATTAAATCGTTAAACATAAAAAATCATTGCATATAATACAAGTGGTGCAAGATGAATACGTGTCAATTTCCATCATTTACTCATATTCACTCTCTCTTTCTCTCCATTCTTTTTTTTTTTTTCTTTTTACAAATCCATCTTAAACTACAAAAAACTTAACTACACTGATATGTTATTGGTCCGTAGATCATTGTAGTCATTGTGTGGGGGTATTGGCATCTGATGAAAACCAATATGACTAAATGTCTATGGGGGTGGGGGATTCCAATGACAATATCAATTCATTATTAACTACAATTTAATCATGTATTCAAGGCAATGCGAAAAGAAATTGGCAACTGTATGTACCTTCCGTACAGTAGAGCATACTGACATTTGGAGTGTTGGCATCCCTGGTGCTCCAGGAAGAAATTTGTACCAACATGACTGCATGCTTTATGTCGGTCCCGGTAAATACAGGATCGCTAAACAATTGATTTAACGACCTAGCCTCGCATTCCAGAATTGAATAATGAAAAAATCCCAATTAATGAATGAATAATAAATTGAAAAATAACTGAAACAAAGTGAAAAACAAATAATAAATTTAAAAATCAAATTGAAATCATAAATCTGTAACGTCTAGTCTGCCATATCCGACGTGTACGATCAAAACTTAAACTACAAAGTAAATAAAAGCAATATTCAAATGAGATTCGCCACACTTTGCGACTAGTTGTTGAGATATGTCGGCCCGTCCGTACGTATTTTAATTTTATATACATTTCGTGTAGTCTTTCGACTCTACACCACCCTCAAGTGTGCTTTTCATATGAATATTGAATATAATGTCAATGCTTAACTAAGAAATCAAAAGTAAAACGTTTGTCGTAAGAATGCGTGACAATCGTGCATTTCGTTAAGAAACAAATTTTCCTCTAATAATCAATCGATATACATTTCTTATCGTTATCATTATTTATCCTAGACGTTTCATTACAAGTAAAATATTTATGTTAACAGATTTAAGAATAAAAATTGCGTTTTGTAACGTCTTACATTAGCAATCAGTTATTAACTAAGACAGAAACCATTTGGTTGTTTTTCTGTACATAATATTTTTAATTTACTTGCATGTTCAGACTCAACAAGTGATCAATCTTGTTATTTAATGTCTTATCGAAGTTAGGATTTAAAAATGTAATCTCATCTTAGTTATCATAAAATTAAACATTTCGTATTATGAAGTTACAAACTCATATATAAAACAAATATAAATGAATTCAAATCAAATATGGTAGTGTATGTTAAACAGTTATTCGAGATTCTATGCATAATTATAGCGGGTTGTACTCAGTAAATCGTGATACTGGTACTCAATTGTCTCCTGTTTATATAATATACACTCAAAGTAGACTTTCATACCTTTAAAACTTATACGTAAATAAATGATCGTTTATGTATTTCAATTAATCCTAAGTTATTCAATTATTGTGTTAATAATTCGTTACATTATACAATTTCTTTAGGAACTGTTTTGGCGAACCGCATATTTGTATTTTGTTTTCAAGGAGAATCTGTTTAATGATATCTTTAGTATCAGTATATCTATCAATGTTCCACCAAAACCTACATTCCTTAAATGTATTTTCTTTATTTCTAAGGTAATCTGTATCAAGTTTTGTGTATGATACCAATACTTGTAATTGTCCTGCTTTAAATCGGGCACGTCTTAAAGTCATAGTCGTATCCACTGGAGCTCCCATAATTATATTTGATAATCGTTTAATTTACTCCTCCTGCAATGGGTATGATACGGCTAATCCCATATTGTTTTCTAAACATTCAATGTATTTTGCAAAGTCTATTGGTTCCGCTTTAGTGGTGTAAATAAATGTCTTTGAATCAAGCTCGGAAAGTTTATTATCGCATTCGTCAATGAATTCAATAATTTTGGTATTGTCATTAATCACGTTTAGTTCATTCTTACCTGTCTGTTCATTATCATTGGCCTTATTGATAAACTGTCTTAATTTCTGAATGTGTGTAACATTCTTTCGTTCATCCGTGGCTCTCATGAAACATGGTTTAAGTCTATTGTAATTAATTTCAGTACATCACGTAATACTTCGCCTTTAAGTGTTGCTAGAATATAGTGTGTTCTGTCTAATACTTGATGTACAGCTAAAGGTCCAACCCATTCTGCTGATATTTTCTTTGAGTTGGCAGTCAAAGAAGATGATGTAGGCTTGTACAAATACACTAATTGTCCTACAGAATAAATTGGGCTCTTATACAGTCGTTGCGAAATTTTGGCGTTCTGATTATCTTGGTTTGTTCGTTGTAGTGTAAGCATGGTTGTTGAAATGTGCTGAAATTTCTTTTTGAGGTCTTCAAGATATTCCTCGTATGAGTGAGATAGTCCTGACATGGGATTGAAGGTTAATTTCGTTGAATTCGGAGGTTGTCTTCCGAATACTAACTCATATGGTGAATGATCACCCAGATATGTTGATGAAAATTAGTTATATGCATAACATGTAGTTGATACGAATCTAACCCAATCTGTACCAAATTGATTGTTCACCTTTAAAAGGTCGGACAATGTACGAATATGACGTTCGACTTGTAACTACCGTGATTTTGTACACTTATGATTTTTCTGTCGATGTTGAGAGTGTTACATAAGAGTGTTAACAGTTTGCCTGTTAGTGAACTAGCTGCGTCTGTAATAAGACGGGATGGGGGTCCAAATATGGTAATAACTTTCTGTAATAATGCTTCACAAATTGTTTCTGCATCAAGTGATTTTAAAGGTACACAGATTAAAAATCGTGTAATTTCATCACATACTACCATAATGTGTTTGAATCCCGATGATGAAGTTGGCATACTCTTAAAATCTAGACTGAGACTATCGAATGGTCGATAGGCATCAGGTACTCTGTCATGTAGTGGTCGAAGTTTGTCAGTTTTTGGTTTAAATTGCTGACATCTAAGGCAAGCTTTAACATAATTACTAATACGTTCAAACATATGAGGCATATAGAAAAGTCGACGGATTGTTAAGTATGTTCGCATTGTACCTTGGTGGTTACTTAACAAATTATCATGGAATTGAGATATAATAGTTTCGGCAAGTGTTTCTGGTATTGCTAATTGTAGTATGAAATCATCACCTTTGTTTTGTAGGAAAAAACGAAATAATAAACCGTTACAAAGTATGTACTGTTCTGATTTTGTTTGAATCGCTCTTGCTGCCTTCTTATCGGCTGGCAGAATATCATGAGCTAAATAATCGTAGACAGGTTTAAAGAATGGTGACGTTTCCTGTTCAATTTGTAATTGTTTAACATCAACAGGCAAATTATAATCTCTGATTATTTTTCTACGGATAACGTCTGTCTGGTATTGATAATGGTGGTACAATTGTGGTACAACATGTGGGTCAGTTGAAGGTCGAAGTGTACTAGGTGTAGTGAGTGGAGGTGTGGGTGATTGGTGTTGTGTGTCTATTTGTGGTGATGAATGAGGTCGCGTGGCTGTTGTCGTGTGCTGTGTAGTACTCGTGTCATTGATCTGTGTTTGTTTGGGTTTGTAGAGGTCTGGTATTTTAATTCCCATTTTCCTAGCATATGACCTAGTTACTGGTCTTGAAACTGTTTGTGTTGTTGGATTTACACTATCATTGGTATAAATTTTAGAACAGTTAATGCAATTGTTACAATTTGAACAATTTCAGAATCCTCATCTCTTTGTGCACGAGATAGGAAGTCAGCTAGTACTAATTCAGTACCCTTATAAATAAAATATGAATATGAGTAAATGATTGAAATTGACACGTATTCATCTTGCACCACTTGTATTATATGCTATGATTTTTTATGTTTAACGATTTAATTTTTTTTAAATGAATTGTTATATTGCTAATAATAATAATAATAATAGAGAAAGAATTTCTCTATGAGCAATCAGAAACTCTAAAAGTATGAGTAGTTATAGTACTACTTGAGGAAATTTCACCTTGAAATTAATAAGCTGGTAGTAATAAATTGTTATCAATTATTAATCCTTTAATTAGCATATGAGAGTAATGAGGGCAGGCCTATATTAATATTAATATTAATACTTTTAATCCTTTAATTAGCATAATAAGGGTAGGTCTGAATTAATTTTATCAATATGATTAATCCTTTAATTAGAATTATAAGGGTAGGTCTATATTAATTTTAATAATATTATTAATCCATAATTAGCATATGAGGGTAATACTGGGGGTAGGTCTATATTTATTATTAATCCCTTAATTAGCATAATGATGGTAGGCCTATATTAATAATTATAATAATATTCCTTTAATTTGCATGAGGATAGGTCTATATTAATTTTTTCTTATCAATATTATTAATCCCTTAATTAGCATAATGAGGGTCGGCGTATCTTAATAATAATACTCCTTTCTAATTAGTTCTGAAACGAACTGTTGAGATTGTCATGATGTTAAATAATAATAATAATAATAATAATAATAATAATAATAATAATAATAATAATAATAATAATAATAATAATAATTATAATATAAAACTTACTTTGGGTGATCTCATCCTGTTTTCACAAATAGTATATAGTAATGTAAATTCCTATTCCAATGTAATGTAAATTCCTATTCCAAAAGGCGATCTTTTTTTTTTCTACACAATTTTCTATAGTAGTGCATTAACGGAAGCGGGATTTTCAAAAAGATTGTTCCAAACACGTTGAGGCCTGACCATGGCATGACGAATAATGAAAATCCGATAGATTTGAGGGTACATGACGTATAGTGAAATTATCTCTTATACACATCTTAATTTTGCAATGAACAAAATATTTATGAACAAAAACAAACAAATATGTGAGCAACGTGTCCTTCGAGATAAGGGGCTGGTGTGTAATGAAAAATCGTGATATGTATGGGTCCGTGATGTCTGAGTGACGTTTGTTTATTCTTTGTTTAAAGCGGGGTTGTATGTTTTAATAACAGTACATGTAAAATAATATATTTAAAATAATGGTAGTAATAAAATTTTATAATGATGAAAATAAAAAAAAATATTCATAAATAATTAGAATTATAATAATACTTGGATTAACGTGTGTTTGTTGATGGTAGTGTTGGATCTATAAAATAGGGACACATGGGAATACCTTGATATCTTTCCATTACAACAAAAAGAAACTATTATATGTTCGTGTTACTCTACGTCAGGTGCGTTTTTATCTGTATTATTTTTGAAACATGTCTGGAAAAACCGAATCTACTGCTACTACCAACTCTGAGGTTATTCGAGGAAAAAATATAAACATGGAAACTGAAAGAATTGCACGAGAAATCAATTCAGCGTTTGTAGAATATAAACTAGGCAATAATATGGAATATAGAAGAGATATGAACTGTAATTTTTTCAACTATTGCGAAAAGATGTATAATGCATGCGATGAACATTTGACAATAGAAGTATCGCTTGATTCAAATGAAAATATTAAGACGTTTTTAAAAGACGTTTTAACAGAAATGTTTAGTGATAATATCATAAACTGGGGCCGTATAATTATGGTGTTTGTGATTGGAGCGAAATTAGCTGTGTTATGTAAAGATAAAAACAGAACTGATTTGATTGATCAAGTAATACAGAGTGTAGACAAATTCCTGAAGACGGAATTTTTGGAATGGATTAATTTGAAAGGAGGATGGGTAAGTCACATTTTTTCGTGTTAATCCTTGATTAATAAATTCAAACTGCAATTTGTTTCTCTCTATATATTTTATATATACTATTTATTTAGTTATTTTATTTAGACCAATTAATTTATTTATGTATTTTCAGAAAAATTTCGATCAATCGTATACTGAACACAATAGGATTACAGAGACTCCTCTAATCAACGTTTCGCTGGGGATAGCGTCAAGTCTTGTAGCAACTCTTTTTCTATTCAAAACATTTTGCCAAGGATGACATGTATAAAGTATGTTTCGCCTATCTAAGTAGTTCTGAAAAGAACTGTTGTTGTTGAGAATGTCTCAACGTTAAATAATAGTGATAATAACTTACATGATCTCACGAGTGTTCCAAAAATGATAAAGTGGACTGATAAGTTGACTGATAACGCATAGCGGGTTTTTTAAACTGATGACGCATAGCGAGGTTTTCTATTGACAGGCTCAGTCACGTTGAAGTCTAACGAATAATGACGTATAATGAAAAGATCGAAACATGCGCTGGTACGTATGACGCTTGATTAAAATCAACCATTGAGCGAAGCGCATTAAGATTTCGTCTGATGAGTAACGAAAAAGGCGATAGATATGCGGGCACATGATGTCATGAGTGAAATTAACCAATGAACGATATGTTAAAAGCTGTCTCTTATACACATCTAGATGTGTATAAGAGACAGGTATATAGTAATGTAAATTCCTATTTCAAAAGGCGACACGTGGGAATACCTTGTAATATTTCCATTATAGTGAAGAAAAAACTTTTTAAGTTTGTGATATTCTACATCAGTTACATTTTTATCTATTTTTCTTTTCGAAACATGGCTAGAAACAACGAATCTTCAACCATTAACTACTCTGAGGCTATTGAGCTTTTATTTAAATGGAGAAAATGTAAATGATACTCGCCCTTCGCAACAAGTTGAAGAAAATGCCAAAATAATTCAGGAAGAATTGCAATAGTGTGAGACATTGCAGTACCTGTCTCTTATACACATCTGGCATTATTTCTCTTATATTTACAAAAGTAATACCATTAATTTACAAAATATACAATAATATCTTTAGACATTACAAAAATAAATTATTTCTCTTATATTTACAAAAGTAATACCATTAATTTACAAAATATACAATAATATCTTTAGACATTACAAAAATAAATTATTTCTCTTATATTTACAAAAGTAATACCATTAATTTACAAAATATACAATAATATCTTTAGACATTACAAAAATAAATTATTTCTCTTATATTTACAAAAGTAATACCATTAATTTACAAAATATACAATAATATCTTTAGACATTACAAAAATAAATTATTTCTCTTATATTTACAAAAGTAATACCATTAATTTACAAAATATACAATAATATCTTTAGACATTACAAAAATAAATTATTTCTCTTATATTTACAAAAGTAATACCATTAATTTACAAAATATACAATAATATCTTTAGACATTACAAAAATAAATTATTTCTCTTATATTTACAAAAGTAATACCATTAATTTACAAAATATACAATAATATCTTTAGACATTACAAAAATAAATTATTTCTCTTATATTTACAAAAGTAATACCATTAATTTACAAAATATACAATAATATCTTTAGACATTACAAAAATAAATTATTTCTCTTATATTTACAAAAGTAATACCATTAATTTACAAAATATACAATAATATCTTTAGACATTACAAAAATAAATTATTTCTCTTATATTTACAAAAGTAATACCATTAATTTACAAAATATACAATAATATCTTTAGACATTACAAAAATAAATTATTTCTCTTATATTTACAAAAGTAATACCATTAATTTACAAAATATACAATAATATCTTTAGACATTACAAAAATAAATTATTTCTCTTATATTTACAAAAGTAATACCATTAATTTACAAAATATACAATAAAATCTTTAGACATTACAAAAATAAAATAATTTCTCTTATATTTACAAAAGTAATTACAATAATTTACAATATATACAAAAATGATTACAATAATTGACATTATATATACTTTCTTTTTTAAGTTTACACAAACACTTTTAATTTTTTTCAAGTACAATAATTTATCAACATGAATAAAAATATCTGCAATAATAGATAAAGTGAAAAGTATTGCCAAACATATCCATTCAGCACAGCTTTAAATTCATCAATAATTATTTCTTTAAAGTATTTTGAGTTATTTTTTCTAATTATTATTTGTTTGGATTATTCTTGTTATATTCTTTCTGTTTTGATTGTATCCGAGGATATCATAGACCTTACTATATATTTTAAAATGTAAAAATTTCTATTTTTGCGGTATCGCTTTTAATTTTTGCACCCATCATCGCCATCATCATCATCATCATCATCATTGTCGTCAACTTCGCCAACATCATCACCATCAGTATGTCTGTCAATATAATCATAATCACACCATAGTCAATATCATCACCCTTTGTAGCATCATAATCACCTCCACCATCATCCTCACTTTGATTTTCGTCATCACTACCATACCGTAGCCACTATCATCAACATTCATCTCATAGTTGTCTTCACCAACATCAATACCATCACTACGGTGGCCAAAATAATCATAATCACTACCATAACTACTATCAACAACATTTGTAGCTTCCTAATAACATATACCATCATCCTCACTTTGATCACCATCATCAATATCATAGTCACTCTCATCAATATCCATCGTAATTATCATCTTTGTTATTATTATCATCACCAACAGCAGCATCCTCATCATCACCACTGATACTTTTTAAATCCATCAATATTGTTTATTATCTTCTTAAGCATTATCACCATCAACAGTATCATCATCATCCTTGTAATATTCTGCCTTTTAATTGACACACAGTCGTGCTGAATACTAATAATACACACAGTCACAAATCCACACAGGACATCTTGTTAACATGACTTCCAGAACACATGGACAGAATTTAATGTGTACTCCGTTATCCAGCCGTTTTGCTAGGCTACTACAAAGACGTTTGTTTGTGTTAATATATTACATCACTCCCTTTTAAATAAAAAATTAAAGCTTAGTTGTACGAAAATGACAATTGTAAACTGTTAACTATTTTTGGTTATGAATATGGCATATGAAATTTTACTATAACGTAACTATAAGCAACTACTGTATTCTAATAAACAAATAGGAAACCAGGCTTTACTTTATTCTCCATAATAGGTCGTAGTGTTGGAGTAAACGATGCGCTAGCATTTGGCCCAATTTCAACTTTCTGTTTCTTGGTAGGCTGCATAACGCGTTGCATAGTATTCTTTGCCTTGTCGGTGATCTTGGAGTCGGTGTAGTCGCTGTCTCTTATACACATCTTAAATTCTGAACCTCTATCTGTATGAAATTTTAAAGGCTTTCTTTTGCCCGATAAAAGTTTCTTCATAGCATCCAACATTGTATTGGAAGATGTGTTCTTAATAAGGATAGCCCACGCATATTTCGATAATACATCGGTACATGTAATAAGAAATCTATATTGTTTATTGTAGCGTTGTAGTGTTGTTAAATCCACGAAATCCAATTCCCATCGCTGTTACATAATAATATTAATAATAATAATAATAATAATAATAATAATAATAATAATAATAATAATAATAGTAATACATTGTATATTTAAGAGCTCTAGGCATTTAAAAGTTTATCAAATAAATTAATATCAAATAGTCATACAATTTTGTTTTAGAAGCAAATAGCTTTTCATCTATTTCGTTTCTATCAAACTAATAATATACATATCATCATAGAATCTAAATTAATTTACAAGTTTGTGAAGTCAGTGTTAGCTTAGCAAATATTCTTCAACTAATTGCTTAAATTTCGTTTGGTATGGTCGATTAATGCCATAACGCTTCCCACTTTGAGCAAAAATGTATGAAGTTGTTTGATCTGATCACTATTTTGGATGGTAAAACCAGTATCCCTGATTACATGGGTCAGTATCTAGGCCTACAAGAACATCGGAATATGGGAACGTGTTAGTTTTCTCATTGTAATTTTCTTCTGACGCTGAACCGCATTCATCTGCGCATTGTATCTTTTTTTCTTCAACTTGTTTTCTCTTTCCGCCATTATCATTTTCATCACCATTTGTTTCGTCGAGATGTTTCCCATTGTCGTTTTCATCCGTTCCAACACCACATTCATCTGTACCGTTGATCTCTTGTAGCATATCTTCAACTTCATTAGATCGTCGTAGCATTTGACACCATTTATTTATAGAAAGACTAATTCCCTTTCTACTAGGGAAAAATTTTCCACGGTCTTCTTTTCGGTAGTATTCGCGGATGCAGATATATGTTTTCCCGTTCCACCTTTGTGCGACAACATGTCTCTCTTTCGATAAATGGATACGCTTGGTTGCAATGACAGTTTCTTTATTCTCCATAATAGGTCGTAGTGTTGGAGTAAACGATGCGCTAGCATTTGGCCCAATTTCAACTTTCTGTTTCTTGGTAGGCTGCATAACGCGTTGCATAGTATTCTTTGCCTTCTCGGTGATCTTGGAGTCGGTGTAGTCGGCTGTTGGTTTAGAGAAGTTCATTCTGGTAGTATATTATAACAGTATTTCGCAGAGACTAGAGTTTAAAAAGTTATTAGTGGATGAAATTGAGCAAACTGATACTCTTACCTAAATTTTATTCTATTTTATAGAGCCTACACTACCATCAACAAACACACATTTATACCAGTATTATTACTATTATTATTATTATTATTTTACTACTATCTTTTATTTTCATTACTATAAATTTATTACTACCATTATTTTATGTATATTATTTTTACTACTATTATTAAAAATATCCCCCCGTGGAAACTTTTAACATATCGTTCATTGGTTAATTTCACTCATGACATGTGCCCGCATATCTATCGCCTTTTTCGTTACTCATCAGACGAAATCCTAATGCGCTTTGCTCAATAGTTGATTTCAATCAAGCGTCATACGTACCAGCGCATGTTTCATTCTCAACAACAACAGTTCTTTTCAGAACTACTTAGATAGGCGAAACATACTTTATACATGTCATCCTTGCCAAAATGTTTTGAATAGAAAAAGAGTTGCTACAGGACTTGACGCTATCCCCAGCGAAACGTTGATTAGAGGAGTCTCTGTAATCCTATTGTGTTCAGTATACGATTGATCGAAATTTTTCTGAAAAAAAATAAATAAAAAAACATACATTATGGAGTTGGAAATAAATTGAATTCTTAAATCAATTGTAAATATAGAACAAAAGTGAAATTTTTAAATCAATGAATGTGAATACGAAAAAAAAATAGAAGACTTACCCAGCCTCCTTTGATATGAATCCATTCCAAAAATTCTGTTTTCACGTATTTGTTTACACTCTGTATTACTTGATCAATCAAATCAGTTCTGTTTTTATCTTTGCATAATACAGCTAACTTCGCTCCAAACACAAAAACCAAAATTATACGACCCCTGTTTATGATATTATCGCTAAACATTTCTGTTAAAACGTCCTTAAAAAACCTCTCAATATTCTCATTTGAATCAAGCAATACTTCTCTGGTCAAATTATAAAGATGTTCATCGTACGC